ATATATATATATATATATATATATATATATATATATAAATGTTTATAGCTTAATTAGTCTGTTTTAGTCTCTGCTTTGTTCAGATAAAAGTTTAATGCTAATCCTAATGTTTTGTTGCAGGAAAACATCAATTTTCTAATTATCACTTCCTAATACAAGTTCCTTTTTTTAATAAAGGTGTTATTAAACTCTCAAACCAAAAATTACCTGGACTCATTTAACATCTTATCTCACCTTCAATCTGGTTTCAGGTAACAACACAGCACAACAACTGCTTCACTGAAGGCTCTTAATGATGTTGTTGAAGCACTGGATACTAAGGATTATTGTGCTGCACTTTTCTTAGACCTGTTTAAAGCTTTTGACACTGTGGATCAGAACATCTTGTGTCATAAACTCTCAGAAATCAGTTTCTCAGATCACACCATTGGTTGGTTCTCTAACTATCTCTCAGACCGGAGGCAATGTGTTCAACATAATGGTACTTCCTCCAGTTAACAGTCAACAATGGTGTACCACAAGGCTCAGTCTTAGGACCCACCCTCTTTACAATCTACATGCGTAATGTAGGTAAAAACATTCCTAATGCATCCATACATTTCTATGCTGATGACACTGTTGTTTACTGTCGAGCTAAAACAGTTGAAAAGGCTTTCCAGCTTTTGAAATCTGCATTCAACATCATCCAGACAGATTTGTTCCGCCTCAAACTTGTCCTAAATGCCAACAAAACCAAAGGGATACTTTTTTTTCAAATAGGAAGTTGGTCCCAGCAGTTCTTACTCTGATTTCATCCTCAAATGGTGTCCTGATTGAGTTTGTTGATTCCTATAAATATTTTGGTATCTTGGTCAACTCGCATCTCTCTTTTAAGCTCCATGTGGAAAACTTGGTAAAGAAACTGAAAGTTAAACTGGGTTTTTTGAATGTCCAGAGGACCAGATTGAACTTTGTTGGATTTTTCTACCTGGATTATTGAGCATGCATCAGGATATTAAACAGGGTTTCTTTTTCAGAAACAGATCCTGTCTAACCCTGAATGCTAGGAAACGCCTTGTATCTGTGACCTTCCTTCCCTCCATTGATTACGGTGACATTATTTACATGAACACTCCTACAAGAACCCTGCAGATGTTGGATGCTGTCTATCATGGTGCACTAAGATTCATAACTGGCTGTGATTATCGTACCCACCACTGCACCCTGTATTCACTGGTTAACTGGACATCATTAACTTCACGCAGACTCTCTCACTGGTACATTTTCATCTTTAAATCACTTCTTGGTCTGTTGCCTTCATACATCTCCTCCTACATTTCTCTGTGTGAGTGCAGCTACGGCATGTGCTCTCAGGACATTATTACCTGCAGTGTTCCCTCAGTGAGGACTGAACTAGGCAAAAGGACCTTCTCCTACTCTGCTCCTGTTTCCTGGAATATCTTATAAAAAGATCTGAAGCTCTCGACCTTGACCTCTCTAAGTGGCTTTAAGAATCTGTTGGACTCCTGGCAGATGTTCCTGTTTTTAGTTTTCTACATTCGCCTTAGAATCTAGCTGTTTTTTGTTACTTTTGTAACTGTTTATTGTTGTCATCATTCTTTGTTGAAATCAGGTCTCTCTTGTAAATGAGTCCTTGAGGCTCAATGGGATTTACCTGTCTAAATAAAGGTTGAATGAATGAAAATGAACGCTTTATAAACAGGTTAATCATGAGTTTATTGATTGATATTCTAGAATATGTTTACAAACGCATGAATTATCTAGTTATTAAGCATTAATAAATAAAGGCCTGCTCGTTACAAAGTGTTGCTGTTTTCTCTGTTAGATGATTTACAGGTTTTATTTGTTATAAGTAACGTTTTACAGAACTCGTTACGGCCTGTAGATCTCTGTTTGCTCTAACCTGCGCCGCTCCTGCCCACAGTTCACTGGGAGATGGTTCGAAATCGCCAAACTGCCGGCGCAGTTTGAGAAGGGCCGCTGCATCGAAACCAATTTCACCCTCAGGACCGACACCTCGGTCAGGGTGGTCAGCTCCGAAGTGCAGTGAGTCGCCATCTGGGCTAACGATTTGTGTGCAGTCGTGGTGATGCAACCTGAAGTGTCTGTCTGTGTGTGTGTGGAACAGAAAAGGACAGGTGAGGAAGATTGAAGGAACTGGAATCGTAGTGGATCCCAAAAATCCAGCCAAACTGGGAATAAGTTATTCCTATGGTGAGTAGGAGTTTTCATTCAACCTTTATTTCATTATGGGGTCTGCAACCTGCGGCTCTGGGGCCACTCGTGGCTCTTTGGTCCCTCTGCAGCGGCTCTTACAGGCTTTGACCAAATCTAAAATAAAACTGAATTTAATTTAAATTATTGCCACCAATAAAAATGGTTAGTGTTAGCCCCCCCCCCCCCCTGTCATTTTCAAATATGTGAAGAGTACAAATACACAGCGTAAAACACGTGGGCGACATCATGCTAGTAGTTTGTTAGCCACTTTAAGTCGACTTCCCGTCAAACCACCAGAATGTTTTGGAATATCTTTAAGACAAGCTGCTGAGAAGGAATAAGGTGAGTAACTTTGATAACACTAAGAATAAAACACAAAAAATCAAAATCAAAGTGAACAAAAGTATTTATTTTGTTTTAAATGTAACTGGATATCCAACAAATAATTTAACTTTATGCTTTAAATAGGAAACTTAAGTAACAATTAAGAGAAGTCACATCAGCCTGCAGAGTTCCGAGTTTTAATGTTTATAAAGTTGTTAAAAATTACAATGTGTTCTTTCTTTACATGAATTTGATCTTTTATCTTTTGAGTCTCAGACCTCCAGGACTCGTCGGAGTGAGGTCTCTTGTAAAACTTGCTTTTTGCTTCATCGTGTACTACTGGGGTACCACATGAAGCAGAAAATGTTCGGCTCATTCTGATGACTCTAGGTTTTTGTAACTTTTAAACTTATTAAAACATTTAACATTCTTTGGGTCTTTTGTTTTAATTTAAATGCAGAGATTTTAAATGTAAGCTAACTTCAACTCTTTAGCTACCATTGTGCTAATCTTAGCTTTTAACAAAAGTTGAGCTTGGCTAAAATTTTAGCTTTTAGTTATTGTTTCAATAGCCTTAGTTTTTAGCTACTGTTGTGCTAATGTTAGGTTTTATTATTATTATTTATTATTTTTTCTTCCTTTACATAAATCTGTTTTTTTTTTTGTATTAAAATGTAAAAATATCAGTAAATGTTAATAATAGTTAGACATTTTTCGTTTTAATAATATCATCCCCACGGAAAAGCCATCTCCAACAAACTTGAAGGGGCCCATGAGCCACCAGTTGATAGTTCCCAGTTGTAGCTGGTCTTGCAGCTCCGGAAACATCGTACTTTGTAAACAAAGTGGAAAAAAATGTCTCTTTTTATCCTAAAGGTTGCACATCCTTGATATAGAACAAATGTTGTGTGTGATCTGATTCTCACTCTCGCCTGTTTAACCCCAGTCCTCCCATACTCCCCTTACTGGATCTTGTCCACGGACTACGTGACCTTTGCCCTGGTGTATTCCTGCACGGACGTCCTCAGACTCTTCCACGTCGACTTCGCCTGGATCCTGGGCCGGACCCGGAGCCTGCCGGACTCCACCATCGAGAAAGCCCTGAACACCTTCGCCTACAACAACATCGACGTGACCAGAATGACCCCCAGCCGGCAGCAGGACTGCGATAAAACCTTCTGAGGGGTCGGGGACGGCTCAGTTTTTGTTTTTAGTTTAGAGAAAAAAAAACTTTAATGTGAGCGTGGAGGTGAACTTTGTGTGAAACTAACTAAATAATATTTCAGCTCTTTTTAAACATCATCAGTTATACAACGTTTTTGTTCTGTTGAACGTAACTCAGCTCTTAAAAAACGTAAACGAGTGAAAAAAGTTTGTCTTAATGAGTTTAGCTTCAATGATCTCCTGCTGTCAGGAGAGGCGGGCGATCATGTAATTCCTGTTTGTTTGTCTGTAAAAATATCTCATGAAGCCAAACGGCTCTCACAAACAATTCTAGAAATCCGGTGCTAAAGAGACTAACATGAAAAGAGCACGTCTTTTAAACTACAGAAGATAAAAGCTCAAACAGTGACAATAAACAAGCAAAATAAATAACTGAACATGGATTATGTGGAAACAAATGGATTTGCAGACGTGTGTGGGGAATTTCTGAAAAACATTATTTTCATTGCTCCTTCCTCATGCTGTAAAAGTAACATAAAAATAAAACTGTAAAGTTGCAAACATAGAGTTTAACAATCACTTATCAATTAAAAGACGGACAATGATGTTTGGGCTTGTGTGTGTGTGTCTGTTAGCAAAATATCTCATGAAGCGTTGGACAGATATAAATGAAACTTTCAGGAAATAATCACTGGATGAGCTAATACAACTGATTAATATTTGGAGTCAGTCCAATTCAAGATGGCTGCCACAGCTTATTGATCTTGGTAAACACAGAAGTAGATGCAACATTATCAGTTTTATAGACACTGAGCTAAAATTTGCTGTGGTAGTAGCTGAAAGTTATCTCTATTGCTTGCATTAATTTGAGTTTAACTCCATAAATAATCATCATGGTATTAAACTCTGACGTGAAAGGGCTTTATTGATCATTCATGGTTTAACAGAACGATGACTCCTGATGACTGAACTGTCAGGTTTCAGACGTTGTTGTGAAAGTTGCAGCAATGGATCCTGCACCTGCCAGGATGAGACGCCTGCAAAACAAAGAGCATCGTTTTCCATGCATGTTGGCAAAACCGTGTTCTTCATCGTTGTGTCTGTTTTCACTGCTCAGCATGAAATCGAGGACGAACCGTCAGAGTTTCTGCAGCTGCTGAGGAGCTGGATCTGCAGGCGCTTTGGGGAATTTATCCAAAACCTCTTTATCATATTTACAATAAAACACAAAAACATAGTTATATATTCCCAACAACTTCTGTGGCGTGCAGAAACATTACGGGGTGCCATTTGTAAAGTTACACAGTCAACAATTAATAGAAAATATTTTGGTTTATTTAGCCTTTAATAAGAAAAAAAGGGTTATTTTTCAAAGTCATATTGTCACCATGTTATTCATTTATAAATGTCATAGTTTCAAACTAAATATTTAATTTACAAGCTAAATATTTAGTTTACAAACTAAATACTTAACTTGCAAGCTAAATATTTAGCTTGCAAGTTAAACATTTAAATGAGAGTTAAATATTTAGTTAGCAAATTAAATATTTATTTTGGAAATTAAATGTTTTTTTAATTAAATATTTAGCTTGGACAATAAATATTTAGTTTGGAAATTTAATGTTTAATTTGGAAATTAAACATTTAGCTTGGACAATAAACATTTAGCGTGTAAATTAAATATTTAATTTACACCTAAATATTTAGTTTACTAACAACATATTTAACTTGCAAGTTAAACATTTAAATGAGAGTTAAATATTTAGTTAGCAAATTAAATATTTATTTTGGAAATTAAATGTTTAGTTTGGAAATTAAACATTTATCTCGGACAATAAATATTTAGCTTGGACAATAAATATTTAGTTTAGAAATTAAATGGTTAATTTGGAAATTAAACATTTAGCTCGGACAATAAATATTTAGCTTGTAAATTAAATATTTAATTTACACCTAAATATTTAGTTTACTAACTACATATTTAACTTGCAAGTTAAGTATTTAGTTTGTAAACTAAATATTTAGCTTGTAAATTAAATATTTAGTTTGGAACCATGACATATATAAATGTATGAATAACATGGTGAAAATATGGTTTTGGAAAAAAAAAAAATAATTTGTATCAAAGGCTAAATAAACGAGAATGTTGCAGTTAATTTTTGATTGTGTAACTTTACAAACGGCACCCCATACACTCACATTAAAGTAGTTATTTATGACTGAACCGCTTCAGTCTGCAGAGTCTGTGAGGTTGGGGGGGACCTGGACCGAGGGAGGAACGGTTCAGATGTGGAACTAAATCCTGCAGAGACGGATCCTCACAGCAGGCGTTCTTCAGAGGAACAGGATCTGCCAGCTTCAGTACAGACAATAAATATAATCAGTGTTTAAAGAACACGACAGCACGAGACGAATATTCAGACGATCACAACCGTTTCCAAAGCCGTCGACAAAATGAAGCTAAAAACTACCTCAGGTTGAGAAATGACGGAGGCCAAACCCTGAAAATTACGTTTTGCTCAATCACGACACGGTGTGTTAGTGCTCAGAGCACGTGTTCAGTATGACTCTCAGCTACCACACCAGACTTTAGTTCAATATCTGTAAAAATGAACAAGTTAAACTATTTCTGTGTTAGTTATGGTCAATTAGCTGTGGCAGCCATCTTGAATTGGGTTCACTCTGTCGTAGATGCACATCCAGTGATCACTTTTGTTGAGTTTCATTAAAATCCACCCAGTGGTTCACAAGATATTTCGCTAACAGACAGACAGGGTTGCAACACCATAAAGCAAGTATTTGTTTTAGTAATTTTAGTATCTCTTGGGGACGACTATCAGCTACTACCACACCAAGTTTCAGCACAATTTCTGCAAAAATGGCTGAGCTGTAGCTATTGTTGTGTTTTTCAAAGTCAGTTGGCAGTGGCGGCCATCTTGAATCAGGTTTACTCCAGTTAATCAGCTGAAGAGGCACATCCACTGATTTCTTTCCAAGAGCTCCATTAAAACACATTCATTGGTTCATGAGTCATTTTGCTAAAGGTACATGTTTATGAAAAATAAAACCATTTCTGCACCGTTCAGATTACAATGACGAAAGAAACAAGCTGCTGCATTTCATGGCTTTAAAATAAATCTTTGTTTGTTGGTGTTTTCTGACTTTATCACTTTAAACCCAGAAGCTCACGACTTGTTTCTTGTGTTAACGAGCAACTAAAAATAGAAATGTTAATTAAGGAGCCACAGATTGAGGTGAGAATAAATAACTGCTGTAGCTGCATGTAAATAACTATAAAAAAAAAAAAAGTAAAGATCAACTTCTTCTCATCTGTTTTTTCATATTATGAATAAAAAGTTGTTTTTTTTTTACTTTGTTTGCTCTGACAGGTTCTGTCTGTTTGGGTTTTGTGGTTGTGAGCTGCACGGTCACCGTCCTGCAGGTTGGGGGAAGCAGAGTGCTGCTGATGGAGCTGACAGGAAACACCTTCACACTCCTCATCTGGGACAAAACAGAAGAAAGCACAATATAATACTTAATGTTTCATGTTAATCATTCCCCTGTATTAAAAGGGTAAAAAAAAAAAAAAAAGGTTTATCAATATTTTAAGTACTATTTTTACTACATTCAATTTTTATTCCTGCATAAAGACAAAAAGTGTGATATGCCTCTGGTTGTCTGTGAATATACTTTATATATTCATGTTCAGTTCTCTGCTCCCAGATTAACAACAACAACAACAATAATGATAATTCCTCATCAGGCAGGCACGGTGAACATATCTGCGTCTAGTTTCCAGAATTCTGAGTTACGTGCGGTTTGTGTAAATATAAATCTGAAAACCAAATATAAAGTGTTTCATCGCCCCACCTCCCCCGATCTCAGACAGACCTCGGTTGAAAATCTTAACGATCCGATGAGGAGCAGCAGTCGTGACTTCATGAAAGTCAAAAAGTTCAACAGCATCCAAACCAAACCAGAACCTGCTGCTTCTCTGCGAGTTTCCAACGTTTTCTGAGCAGACAGAGGCCGAAGCTTTCCTCCGCTTCCTGCTGTCATCTCTCTGGACCGACCTCTGAAGTCTCCACACTTTGGACCTGCTTGGCAGATCCTACAGAGAAGATGAAACTTTTGATTTGGGAGGAAGAACAACCTCACAAACCTTCACAAACAGAAACCACAGACCAACTGATAAAAATCCTTTTTTTGTAACTTGAAAGTCTTTCAAAGTTTTTCTTTGGACTTCAGCTGCTCTTTGTCTCATTATTGGTCCAGTCTTTGTAATTGTCCAAATCATCGGTGTGAGACTCAGTCCTCCAGGACTCGGAGGAGAGGTCTCTTGAAAAACTGGCTTTTTACTTCATCATGTACTAGTGGGGTACCACATGAAGCAGAAAATGTTCAGCTCATTCAGCAGATATGACTTTAGGTTTTTGTAACTTTTAATCACATTAAAACATTTATCATTCTTTAGGTATTTTGTTTAAATTTAAATGCAGAGATTTTAAATGTAAGCTAACTTCAGCTTTTTAGCTAACATTGTGCTAATCTTAGCTTTTAACTAAAGTTGAGCTTATTTTAGCTTTTAGCTAAAATTTTGCTCATTTTAACTTTTAGTTATTGTTTAAATAGCCTTAGATTTTAGCTACTGTGGTGTTAATGTTAGGTTTTAATCAGGGCTTAGTGTGGGGGAGGGGGTTCTGGGTGTGGTGGGGTCCTCCTCCAGAAAATTTTGAATAAAGTTGATGAAATTTCCTGCATTTTGGTGTATTTTAACAGGTTGCTAAACATCTACGTTTAACTGCATTTGTAAACATTTAGCTTCTGTCAAGATCCCACTTGTTCTTTTCCAGATCCAACATCTGGGGCAGCTGGAGCCCAACGTCTGACTGTCTGGACGGGTTCGGGCCATCTTTCACTCCCTGCAGAACGCAACTTGTACAAACCCTGGATGTCTCATAGCTGAAGATAGAAGACTGTTCAGGGCAGACTGAGCCCATTAGCAGACGATGGTTAGCTCCTGGGCGTCTGAGCTCTGCTGGGTTCCCAGCAGGAAGTCTCTTTACGGGCCTCGAAAC